TTTAGCAATTCACAGAATGGGACTTTCTTACCTCTTCACAGTCCCCCCCCAATTCAGCTGCTAGGAGTTGGGGGACCACTGGGAATGGTATAGGAAGCTGAAGACAGAGCAGGGAGTTAGCACAAATTACTCTCCCCTATTACGTGAAGGAGCAAGTTCTGGTCCTTTAGCACAAAACTGACTCATTTTATTTTTAAAGTATGACTTTTTGCATAAGCCCCTGTTTCCTCTTAAAATTCGAATAACCACCTTTTTTCTGCTTCATGAAAACAAAATGCCTATAAAAGGTCCACAGAAGCTCATCCTTGTAAAATAATCTTACTTCCACCCCACTTCTTTGAGCAGCAAGAAGTTCCAGGAACTCAGCATTTACCCAGATTTGGTTTCCGTTTGAAGGTCATTGGAGGCTAATTGGCATTTTGTGATGTTCATTTCTTTATATACAGGTTGAGCATAGTTGGAGATACATCTTAAATTAGGGATCAGTAAACCATGGACCTCTAGATATTGTTATAATACAACTGTCGCCGCTGCCACCAACATCCTTGACCATTAACCATGCTGGCTGAGTCTGATGGGAGTTGGAGACTGCAATTATCTGGAGATCTGCAAGTTGACAACCCATCTTAAACAATGGAACAGATAAAAGTCCATGGCTCCCACATCAGACCTCCATGGAGACCAACCTAGAACCTTAGGTTGTTCACACAGCCAAAACTCTTTTTCAGTTTCTTTCTCAGAAGGGCAGACTATTGGTTTTACACCTGGATGAATAACCTCTTGTATTGGATAATACAGACATTTTATACTGGGAAGGCCACGATTTAAAATTTGGCTGGCATGCATGACTTTGGTACGGGAAAGCTAAAATCTGTAAGAGTTTTATGAACCGCATTCTCAGGAAGGATTTGTAGTGTTTGGGAGAAATATAAAAATTTGCTGGAAAGGAAAACACCTTTACGGTTATCCCCCATTGAAGCAATTACAATTAAGAGAGTTAATATGAATAGACAATGGGCGATTTACAGGGAACTGCTGGATTTTACGGAGGCGGGGGGGCCGGACCCAGACTGAAACCTATGGAAAAATTAAGGAGCCAAGTTACGGACTGGCTAAAATACCACCAGCTATATGTTTAAGTTAGATTTTTAAAAACAGGCGTTTTTAAACAGCTTATCATCACTAATGTAAAATACATGATATGCAGTTAAGATTCCATATTGCTTGAGAAATCCTTGTTAGAGCCAAGTTTGATTTAAGGAAGACCTTAACCTTACTAAAATTCCAGCAAATGCCCCTGGCTTCTGTAGATGGGCGGGCTGCAAACTGACTTTTGGTCTGTGCCATTGTTCTGTTGGGGTGAAAAACAGTGGAAGTCCTTCCTTACTACATATTGCACTGTGTGTTTTCAAGAATATTGGGAATATGTTTCTAAAGCAACTTCTGAGAGATTATTAACTCTGGTCCTACCAGCAGAACTTAGAATTCCTGCTGGCCAATGGCAGCAAAGCAATTTTATACAGGGACTGTTTTTTTGCTCTGGCAGCCAGGAAGCAACAACAAAAATGACTCATGTTGTGGGTTGTAATCATGATGCTTAGCTATTGGACTACTGTAACTCTGTAGAGATGTTTTGTATATATTTCTTTGACTACTGCCTGATTGGATTTATTATTTTTGGTTGATATTTTGTTCTGCTCTGTTATGGCCAAAGGGTAAAATAAATAAACTTGAAATGAACTTCTTAAAAACAATCCAGCTGAAGTTAGTTGTGCTTAAGTCCCATCAGAATCAAAGGGGTGGCATAGTTAAGTTAGTTAAGACTAATCTGCCGTATGGATTTCAGCGATGTGATGGACACAATCCTATGTCGCAGGTCCAATGGCTGGATCAAAATTAAGATTTGGAAAAGCAAAGCAAATTTTCACCATCACAGTATTCAAACAAGCAAGGAACCAAATACTTATTTAGAATACAGAGCCATCAAAGGTATGTAGCAATAAATGAACAAAATAATAGAATTGTACAGTTGGAAGGCATCATGAGGGTTACCTAGTCCAACCTGTGCAATGCAAGAATCATTATGCCCAACCTGGGGTTTAAACTCATGATTCTGAGATTAAGAGTCTCACGCTCTACTAACTGATCTATCCCACACATCACTGTTTGGTCATTTTAGCCATAGGTAAGCTGGCTGGGTAAGCTCAGGAAAATTAAGAGAAATAAATACAAACATTTTGAAACTAGATACAAGTAGGCACCCAAGCCTTTAGAACAGGCAGCTGTGGAATTAACAGAATGTACTTACCAATAGCAAAATACAGAATGAAAAGTAATTCTGTTTGGTCATATTAAGGGGAGGGGAGGAATTTAAAAAAAGGGGGAAGTGTTACATTTGAACAAAATGAGAAAGATTAACCAGTTTTCTAAATAAATTCCCGTTCAAAAATATCATTGGTGCTCCTATGTTCTGCCCCCATTGCAACATGCATTTCTGATTTGAGTGGGATTCAAACATCGTTAATGCCATATGAATTGCACGGGTTTCCCCTACAGAAAATGCAAAAACTATGATTTCTCTAAAGAGTGCTAGAACTGAAACGGTATAGCAAACTAGGTGCTCAGTGGACTGCAAAACTTGTTTCCTTTGCATACTTGTAATAAATGCTTCCACATTTTTGTAGAAAATGCATTCCGTCTGTAAAAGTAAAAGGTAAAGGACTCCTGGACAGTTAAGGCCAGTTGAATTCGACTATGGGGTCAAGGGAGCTTTCAGGTCAACAGAGCTAGCGTTTGTCCACAGACAGATTTCTGGGTCATGGGGCCAGCATGACTAAACCGCTTCTGGTGCAATGTGACATCATGATGGAAGCCAGAGCGCATGGAAACACCGTTTTGCTTACCACCGCAGTGGTACCTATTTATCTACTCGTGCTGGTACATTTTTTAACTGCTAGGTTGGCAGAAGCAGGGACAGAGCAACAGGAAATCACCCCCATCATGCAGATTTGAACTGCCGACCTTGTGATCAACATGCCCAAGAGGCTTGCTGGTTTAGACCACAGCACCACCTGTGTCCCCTTATTCCCCCCCCCAAAAAAAACTGCTCTTGAGAGTTTGAGAATCCTTTACAGTGGTGTAAGAAGTGCTATACTGGGCTGCAGCAAACTGACAGTTTTGCAGCACAGAATTTGAAAAACATTAAATAGTATGTTATAAATAACTGAGAGCTAGCCAGTTTATAGCATAGTGAAGTACCAACAAGATGTTTTCAGAACCAACTGCAAATTATTTTAATTTTTCCTCTGAATGAACCAGATCTAAGACAGTAACAAATATTGTATAAAAAAGAAAATACATTTCATTTTATCATTACATTTTGAAACTAGGAAAAATGCAATTAAAGAAATTAGAATTTTTCAATCTTGGGTAAAATATTGAGAATAAAAATACTGTTTTATTTAATAACACATTAATAAAATGCAACTTAACACTAAATATATTCAGAATATTATTATATGAACTGCTGTCTAGGTGAAACGAGATTAAAATCCTGTGGAAACATATCAGCATCTGAGTGAGTTGTAACCAATAAACTTTCAGATCACAATAGCAGAAAATGAGGAATTAATTGGACAGGAACATTTGAAAAAAGAGAAGGGCAAAAGGGAACCTCAGAACTTTTCCAAATGAAGCTACTGCTCTAGGGCAGGATTCTATAAATATGAAGCTCCAACACAAAGGGCTGGTTGAGTATGTTGAAGTTTGTGTGTGGCCTAGTCTCCTCTTTGTGACTGGGCAGCTCCAGAACTATTCTGAAACAATGCAAAGATAGAAAAGTGAAGTCTTAGTTGACAAGTACATATGCCTGCCTAAATAGGATAGAATCCTTAAATTATAAATGAACAGGGCTGAAGCTTTAAATTATAAATTCAAACAATTACATTCTCAAAATAATCTGATACAGGGGAGTCCAAAACTTGCCTCTGGCTAGATTTCTCAAGTGAGTGGTAGGTTTCTCTGAAAAGGCAGAGATGTCAAAGATGCAATTTGTGTGTACTTATGAAGTCAATATTCCTCCCTTCCCTCCAGTGCATGCACTCACAGAAAAACTACCTCACTTTTTAGTACATTGGCTTTTCTGGATTATTCCTCTTCCAGTGACAAGAGTGCGCAGAGCCATTCAAAGTATCTGTGTTTGGTCTATATTATTATTGAGAGGATGAGCTTTTTTCATCATTCATGGAAACTATGTATAGTTTGAGAATGCTGTCTCCCATGACACCCTCAATTTAATTTGCCCCCCCTCCAACTTAAATGAAATCTTCCTTCTCGCAATTGAATTTCATTTGCTTTTTCTATCATTTTGTTCTATGGTGTCCCAAACCCCGTTTTGTCCTAAACACACCCTGTAAATTCTGCTTTTGTTTCTCCTTTCTGGTCCTGATTCACTTCAAATTGTCCTATAGCACTCTAAAATAGAACACTGAATCGAATCGAACCTTCTACTACATACTACCGTATTTATTATTTTATTTCTATACCGCCCTATACCCGAAGATCTCAGTATACTGTACCGTTACTTCTGACATTTTGAATGCAATGTTTATGCTAATGAAACTAAAGTAGCATTTGTCTATAACGACATGACACTGACTTCTGGTACTGATGCACTAAGAGCCCAATCCTATGGAACTCCAGCACATAATCTTGTTTCATTCTTGATCTCAATCCAGTGCTTATCAAGGGTTCTTTATGGTACTGTCACACAAAAGAGTGGGAAACTCTTAAATGTGGCCTTTCAGGTACACTTGGCAGGTAGTAGAATAAGATCCTCTGCATTTCTGAATTAAGATCTGACATGATTTTAGGGGCAGCCACAATATGAACTTGCACTATAACAGAAACAGGACTTGGCTCTTAATTGGGACAAAACACATCTACTCTAAAACTTACATGAACTTGGTCTTACTAGTATTATTTACTTAAGGCATTTATATCCCATCCTTAACAAAAATCAGTACCTCTGATGCACGACACCCAGCGTGCTTCCAAACAGGCTACTTATCTGTGCAAAAGTTAGTTCTTATCCCACACTTTCTAGTGTAATTATTGTGTTACTTTTCTCACTGCAAAAAGTCCAATAAAAGTGAGGGAAATTGCCCTGGAAAATGCAAGATAACAATCACAAGCTGGCAATGTCATATAAGCACTGCGCTAACATATCAGGATGAATTCTCAATAAACTGGTGGCATCATATAGCCTCCACACAAGTTTCATGCAACCCTATCAGTGTGACTGCACAATAAACAGCCAGTTTGCAAGTTCCTTGTCTCTCATATGTCAGTTAAAAATAAATGTGAGAGTGCCCCTGTTCATCTCATTTTAACTGTTCCCCCTTTCTGAAATTAATTTAAGAATTAGACTGTTGTATTTGAATTGAAAGTATGTCTGAGGACTTGTATACAAATTGTTTTGATCACTGAACACGTATTGGACATTAGCTAGGATGGTAGAACAACTGCACAATCACATGGCAATCAAGTGGTGCTGCAGTAAAACAATATCAAAAAGCATTTTTGACTTATTCATATTACTGACTTGCTCAGCATTGATCAGACTGAATTTATTTCAGAGGATGAATTGTTGAGTGCAGCCATTGCTACATGTTAGATCTGCCTTTTGGCATAAAAGCCCAAATTCTTTGCGCTAGAGTGGCAGAGGCCAAATGTGTCACATGGCAGCAATGCCATTCCACTTTATAAACTTAGGTCCAAACAGTAAACAACATTAGTTTACGTAGCCTTGTATTTTTTCTAAAATGAAGTGGGGTGGGGAGGGTCAATTCTTTACCCCATGCCACAGTCTTGATACAAATCAAGGATCCCTGTATCTACGTGCAATGAAAGGAAACTGCTAAAAATGGGAGACACCGGCCATCAGTCAGATAGGAATTCTGCATGCACCCAAATACTCATTGGAAAAGCAAAAATGTATATTTGAATGGCAGTCTTCTCCCAAAAGTTTTTGAAACTTGTTTGAGTTTCAAAAGCAGCTCACCATTGTGTACGTGTGTGCGAGAGCACTAGCCTAAAATCCAAACAGTTGCAGAGTTAATCATGTATACTCTGGATGGCTCACTTAAAAATACCCATGGTACATTTTATATATCCATCGTTTATAAAATAAAAACTGCATTTGTGAAAGACAGTCATAATACTTGCAAACTTAGCATATAAAAACAAAGACATTTTCACTTTGATCTGGTCATTATTATTGGTAATTACATTGTGTATCCTGGAAGCTTGCTTACTACTAATTCACTGATGTGTCTATATTGATTAGTAATATCCACCATTTCAAAATTATCATCTTTTTCTTTTTCAGATGAATTGCTTTCTTCTAACCCACTAAGATCAACATCAGACACACTGGAAGGCAAGTAAGAGCTAACTTGAGATGTCCTTATTGACTGGCTCCTTTCCACAGATGATTCACCTTTTTCTACACTATTATTTCTCTCAGAGGGAACTTGTTCCTCTCCCAAGGTCTGCATATCTTTGTTCCCTTTCTTGTTGGCCCGCTGAGCTGCAGGTTCCTCCTTTGAAACTCTTGCAGAAGGAGAATCATGATCAAATTCATTAAGAGCAACACCTGTGGTTTTTTCATTAGATTTTGAATAATAGGTCTTTTTAAGAGATTGGATAGGAGATGTATCTGAGGGAACTGGAACAGGGGGTGAAATGCTTTCAGCAGTCATACTTCTTTCACACATTTTAGAATCCGAGTCCATAACAGACTGGCTTTGATTTGGGTTTATTAGCAAAGGTTCAGAGATGCTCTCTTGAGCTTCTAAGGCTGTGCCTGAACTGTCAACATTGGTGAAATCTTCTGAATAGGCTGCATTTTCAGAGCTAAGAACCACAGCACTTGAATTCTTAAGTCCATAGCTGCTTTCAAAATTGTTGCTCTGGCTATCATTACGAAGGCTTGAAGCATCCCAATTATTTTTCAGTACACATTTTTCTTCTTCTGTATCAATTTTACTTTCAAGGGCATTAGTATCCTGCAAACAGACTCTTGGTAGATGGACTTTCAAACTCTTTTCTTTATAAGAAGAGCCAATACTTTCAGGAAAGCCCTTGTGTTTTGCATTTTCATGACTCTTTACACGGCGGGCTGCAACTTTTTTTTTGAGATCACAGGTTAGTCCCTTTATGGTGGCAGAGTAATCTTGGTCAGTACTGCTTTGTATTAGAGTCTCAACATTTTCATTTATTTGAGCATTTTCTTCAGAGATGCTTTTTTCATCAAATTGTACAGAAGACTTTGAATGGCGCTCGGGGGAGCTCCGCAATAGTTTCCCTTTATTTGAAGAGCTTTTGCCTTTCCTTTCAATGGTGTCTCCTTGCTTTTTTCTACGATGTTCCCTTTTTTCATGCACTTTCAACATGACTGGATTGGAGCGCAGCAAACGAAGTTTTAGAGTATTTGTCAGCCCATATGTAAGCCTTCGTCTAGGGGAAGAGTTTTCCTTGGTGTTGTTTTTCTCAAGATTGCCACTTCTTTCCATTTTTGTGAATCCTTTACCAGTGCTTGTAACGTGCATGGAGGGATACATGCATTTTAAATGATCTGGGCGATTTCTTTTTAACTTTGGGCTAGCAGACCTTCCTCTCTCTTTATGATTAGGAGAGGGTTTTTTATATTCCCGGAAGGGGCATAGACTCTTGACACTTGAGGGCGGGGCTTTTGTACCATCTGCTACATTTTGGTATAGCCATGCTAACTGAGGATGCACAGTAGACGGCCCTGGCTGCAGTGACTGGTTGCTCAGCAGGGACAGTTCCACCAACAAAGCATTCAGCAGAGGCAGCTGGCTCAAGGTTTGTCTGAGCTGATCATGGCTAAGCGCTGGAGATGCCAAGGCAGGCTCTGGGACGCTACCTGAAGGCTCCTCCTTAAGAGGCTCTGCAGAGGGAAAGACGATTTCTTCTTCTGGAAAAGGTTCACGAGGTGCAGCCACCGTCACCATCCCTGACGCCGCAGCTTTCGGCGTGGAGCAAGGATTTTCAGCCGGGCGGCTATAGTACATTGGCGGGGGGCAGAAGACGTTGGTCAAAATCTCCAGCTCTTGGGCTGCTTTCTGCACAGCAAGGCTGGGGGGTTGTTCTTCGGTAAGGGTGCTGTTTAAGGACTCCGTGCTGCCACCTTCCGGGGCAGGGTCCTGCTGGTCTTCTTCTCCCTCTGGGATGAGCTCCAGGTTGACCCCTCTGTCGCTGTGGACGCTGGGCGGACGAGGCGGTGATCTGTGCCGCTCCTCGATGTGGGGCTCCCCGGGGGCCGCCCCCTGCCCCAAGTGGCCCAGCAGGCAGGGCCCCAAGTTGCTCAGGCGGTAGCTCAGGCCCAGTTCTCCCACCGGCTCCCCCATCAGGTCCCTCAGCGGAAACTGCCCCCTTCGCCCCCCGGGGCCGCTGCCCAGCAGCAGCTCCTCGGCGGCGGCCGCCAGGGAGACGCTGGAGGTGCCCAGCAGGCGGGCGGGGCCTTGTCCCGGCGGCAGCGCCAGCAGCAGCGCGTAGAGCGGCGAGCGCCTCAGGAGACCCTTGAGGGCGCCCGGCCGCAGCCGGAAGAGGCACGACTTGCCCCGGCCGAAGGGCACCAGCGGGCCCGGCACCGAGTGCGGAGCGCGCACCAGGAGCGTGGGGAAGTCCAGCAGCCGCAGCGCCACCGCCGGGCGGAAGGGCCTGCTGGCCGGCATGGGCGTCGGCAGCAACCGCGGCTCCACGCGCGCCGACTCCACCAGCAGCTCCAGCGAGAACAGGCTCTCCTCGCAGCCGTCGCCCTCCTCCATCCCGGCTCGCCGTCGACAGCAGCGGGGCGGGCGGGCAGGCGGCGGCGAACGTTCGCTCTCGCGAGACCGGAGGGGGGAAACCGCGCGGCCACTCGCGCGCGCCAGCCTCCGCGTATAATTATCTCTATGGAAGCCGTTGTCTAGCGACCGGCGGCCCTCGCTGCGTCTGCCCGCCGCGGCCGCAAAGCCCTCTGGGAATCCCAGCTAACCTCTCCTGCGATCAAGCTCTCCGGGCTGTATCGGGGTCAGGACCGCGGAGTCGGAAGGGACTCCCAGGGGTCATCTAGTCCAACCCCCGCCAAGAGACGTGCTAATGCTGGGAGCTGCTAGACAGCAGGCCGTTGCCTCAGGCGGAGGCTTGTACGGCGCAGAACGGGTTTCATTGTCTTGCGCTCCTCATTTATCTTAATGTTATTGCTTAAGCAGCCGTTCGCTTAGACTAGAGCAAAAATAGTTTTTAGCATTCTGAGATACCAGTGAAGAAAAACCTGGGGTATCCCCCCTCCCCTTTCTTGGTCTCCTGACTTGAGGGGCATAATCCAGACAACAATAAGCACCTTAAGTTGCTTTTGGGTCGTTGTCTTCAGTGTGAGCACGTGCTGACCAATATCTAGCGGAAATAAACGGAATGATTTTGTAATTTTGCTTGAATGCCCCTCCGGGTTTTAGGGGTTTGTTTTTGCATTTCCTACACATGCTTCCCCCTTTTGTGCTGTTTTTCAATGTTAAATGTTGCAGGTGTTGGAAGAGTGGGATTTCAAAGGGGAAGAGCTTGTTTGCATATGGATGCATGTATTTCTTTAGCTGCAGGCTTTGGAAAATGTTCTATCTTTTTTGCTGTACAGGAGAAGTCATATCCACTGCAACATGAAATTATAGGATTTGTGTTTGACTTTAATTTTTGTTTTGAGTGATCGGTTTAGCTAGCTCCGCTTTCATTGATACAAGCATTGAAAGTATGCAGGAAGTGTTCAAAATCAAGATAAATCTGAGCCCAAGCTTTTGTGATTTTAAGCCATCCGCATCAGAAGAGGTAGATGAATATCCTTTTTGGTGGGTTTTGTCAAGAAAAAGGAGCATCCACAGATGTAGGCCCATTGAACATAAAATGTCAAACTCAACTTTCCCCTCCCCTGCAAAATAACTCAGTCATTGTAACAGACTGGTTTTCTGAGAACATGAACTCATTGTTGCATAGAGAATGCTTGAAAAAGTTAATGAACTGTTCCAAATATTAAACAATCAGAATGGAAATTAAAACTCTTCCAAAACCATTTTTCCTCTTCAAACTCACTGATTTATCCTTAATCTGATTGTGTTTTGGGCTTCACCCAAGACTTTTAAACACTTGGGGTTTGAATTATTTGGAGTGAATAATTCACGTATGGCACTTAGTTTGCAGACAGGAAGATTGCTGTTGTCAACAGTTCAAGCCAATGTACCAGATTTGACTTGGCTTCTTCTTGTTTGTTAGGATTAATGTAACACATCTCAGTGAGCTGGAATCTGTGCTGCCTGCAACAAGAGTTGTGCACTCAAGCAGCCTGGAGAGAATACAGAGCATGTGCTCTACAGGCCAGATATGGCCTCCCTTCCCTCCATGACAGGGAGAGAGCAGTGCCCCGATTAGAATGGAGCAGTGCCCTTTCATTGTGGGAAGAGATAAGCAGATACTCCTTTTCTGTTTTATGGAATGAATTACTCTTCCCCCAAAGATGACACAGTATCGCACGTATTAATGTTTACGTTTAAAATACTTAAATCATGGGGAAATGCCCAAGGTTCACACGCTGAGTAGCCTGTGGTCTGTATTATGATGCATGGTAAAGCTTGTGCTTTTAATACAGTTTAGAGGATTAAATGCACAATGCAGGAGAGGAACACTTATGAGTAGGAGATTTATTTTAAGCTAGAATGTATTTGTTAGGATTTGGTTTCTCCCTTTTGTACAATATATAACTGTATTACATTTATAGTAACGTTTGTTCAGTTTCTGAAAACAATCTATTAAGATTGAAAGCATCTATAAACTATCGAAATAACAATTTGTCTTTTGCTTTGTCATAATATTTTAAAAAATAAATAGATTCTTAAATACTTGCAATATTGCGTAGCCAAATAAATATATATTTTAAACAAACATCAGAGCACTCTCAAACTCAGGCACCATCCCTCCATAGCCGCCTCTATTCAATATGATAGCCACTTTCAGGCATCAGTTCAAAAAAATGTTTGCATGAGATACCCTTCCTCCTGTATTTGGTTTGCGCATGCATTTGTTTGCCTTTTTGATTCTCCAAATAATCACATGCTGAGAAGTAAAGTAGTTATGTAGTTCCTGAATTATGCAGAATGTATTCATGTTTATTATCAGTATATTGCTGATTCAAACACCGTGTTGGAGCCAGACTTAAATCATGCCTAAGAGTAATGTCATTGATTTCAACAAGTCCATTCTAAGCATGACTAACAAAACGTGTGCACTCCAGCCGGGCAGCAGCAGGGCTGACAAAGCAGTGGAACCACCAATGTCTCCACAGCCCATTCTGATGCACATTTAAATGTGCTTTCCCTTTTGGATATGGAGTAGAATGCACATCTAAATGTGTTAAAAGTAATGCTTTGGTTGAAGACATGACTTTTGCATTTGGATGCATATTCGCATATGGAACTAATTTACATTTGTGGTCCCTGATAATGAAGGCTGCTTCTCTGGGCAGATTGCCTTCATTTGAGTAGGATGTCTTGGGATTGTTCCAGAGCTTTGCTCTTTTGCAGGTTGGATTCAGTCACGTACAGGCAAAATCACACTGAGCAATTAAAGTGGATTTGACACTCCCATTCCTAAAACGCAGCACCACCACAATGGACTTGTTGGCAATAAGGAAAGTGATGGGACGATGCACTGGAAAATACGCAATAGCAATTGCTTAATGTGATGTATTATAACCTCTTCACAAACAAATCAGAATAGTTGCTAAATAAACAGTTTTAAAAATGGCTTCCCCATTTGTTCTCCTTGTAAGTTTGAGGCAACTTGGGCTATACTGCTGAGAGGTGAGAATTGAGACAAGGGCTTGTTTGTTATTTCTGCCCGTTTGGCTCCCTCACTTCATCGTCACCTTCATCATCGCCAAATAGTCCCAGCGACACTGAAAGGAAGACATGATGAGTGAAGAGATACTTACATTTAAAAAGTTGTTTTGTTCAGCTGAAAGAAAATTGGCGAAACAATAAGAAAAATAAACAAAAAGCCATCAAAGCTGTGGTTTATTTTTAGCAGGTTCTGATAAATGGAAGTGAAAACCAACTCCTCCCATTTCTCTGTTTCTTGACTTTCTGCCTCCTGCCTTCCCTGCCAATAAGTGCAATACACCACTTTAAGAAGAAAGGAAAATTTTGTTTCATTTTGTGGCACTTTAAAATGGTTTATAGTCAGCATTTAGCCAATGCATTGGCGGGCGGGGGGTTGAATTTGATCGATTAAAAGAATTTGTGTTCACAGCTAAACCTACCTTTACCCAAAGTGCCAGTAAATGCCCTAAAAGTATACCTTCTGATCTGAGAGATTTGACCCCCAATCCCAATCCATAGGAAAGAGATGGGGGTGGGAGGCTTGGAGGAATCTGTGGTTCTCCTGCTATGGTTGGACTCCAGTTCCCATCAACCCTCTAGCTAGCATGGTCAGTGGTCAAGCATAATGGAAATTATAGTCCAACAGCAAATAAGGGTCTAGACATTTTCCTTTCCTGACATAGGGGCTGGCTGTAAAATAGATACTCTTAAGCTTGTCCAGAAAAAGCTGCGTAGTGAAGTGATATTTATTCTTTGACTGAGTTCTGGCACTGAAATTTATTCAGTTTGGCCTGAATAAATTCCTACATTTGCCTGATGTACAGGCCAGTTACAATAACAAAAAAATATTTTTGTATCGCTGATTCTACAGGGACTAAGCTGACTTAAATGTTAATGCCCATCACTAGGAATTAGAAGGTGGTCATCCCTTCTTAAAGGATGGATGTCTTCATAGCTAAAACTGCAGTTTACATCCTTCCAAATCCAAGCCAATGGTGGCAAAATAAAATAGCTGCTCCAGGGAATAACCAGAATAAGCAGAGGCATGGCTCACTCATCATGGTAAGTCATGGCTTAGCAAAAGCATATGGACTCCTAGAGATAAAATTATGATCTCTTTGTTCCTCCCCGATTATTCTGCTATTGCACTGCAGTGAACCAAGCCATGGTTTGGCTTAGTGTGTCATTTCAGCCTGCACTCATGGCTTAGCTGTCCTGCACAAACCATAAGCTATAAATCACAGGACAAACTTTAGTTAGTCTGGAAAAGGCTAAACCACAAGCCCAGTGTTGGGCAACATCCTCAGCCAAGCCGTGACTTAGCTCTGCATGGGGAGAAACAAAGCAGCTGTAGTTTCCCAGGGCTTGTGTGTTCACAATATGCCATAGTTTGACTTAATACAGTGCCTGGGGGCGTCATGAAATGCTCACCACCATTGTGCAGATTCGAACCGCTGACCTTCCATTCAGCAAGCCCAAGAGGCTCAGTGGTTTAGACCACATTGCCACCTGCATCCCCCTTTTTATATATGGAGGATATGGCCACACAATTTTGCAGTCCTGTCTCTTTCAGATTTTAGATGGGTCAGCCATTTTGTATTGTGCTATGCCCTACAGCAGTCATTTTGTGTCATGTTGAGCCCCGATGGCATCATGCAATGTTCTCCTTCCAGGGCAGCCATTTTGCAACTGGCACCCATGGTACTTTCTCAAGGACACATTGCAGCCAGGCAAAAACACACAAGGAGACTATGAAGTTGGGCTGGTTAGAGTAGATGACCTGGATGGAGTAGATTTGGCTGAGGAAGGGTTGTGACCTGAGGAGAATCCCAAGGGCCAAGGCGGTCACAGTTGCCCCACTCTGATTTAAAGGATCTGGAGATTGCATGGCACAACTGCATTCTCATTTGCAGAGTCAGAACAGCCAGTCATCATAAGACAACAAGGAAAGGAGAACTGGGTGCTGGCATTAAGTGTGAAAAATTAAAGGATTGTTTGTAGATATAATCCTTTGCATTTTCCACACGTAATGGAATAATCATCACCTCATTTTTACTAATGAGGGGGCTTTCTTGAATCAAATGATTTTTACGGCTGGATCAGTAAAGCCAGTTCTAGGTTACTGCTCTTGTGACAGAAAGGCAAGTATGTGACTTTAACCCATCAACACAGTTTTAAAATACTTTCTTGTTCAGGGGTCAGCAACCTTTTTCAGCCGTGGGCCACTCCACCGTCCCTCAGACCATGTGGTAGGCTGGACTATACTTTGGGGGCGGGGAATGAACGAATTCCTATGCCCCACAAATAACCCAGAGATGCATTTTAAATAAACGCACACATTCTACTCATGTAAAAACACGCTGATTCCCGGACCGTCTGCGGGCTGGATTGGGAAGGCGATTGGGCTGCATCTGGCCCCCGGGCCTTAGTTTGCCTACCCTTGCTCTTGTTGGAACATATGGTACTTTCCTCACTCTCCCCTCCCAAGAAGAACCAAAGACCTAATAAAAAACGACCACCCACTGTAAGTCCGGGAAAGAATGTTCAGGTGATGGGAGAGACAATGGAGAAGAAAACAAAGTAGAGAAGCTTGTCTACTCTGTAGTTTGTTGAGAGGGAGAAGATTGCATAAAATAAGACCTGACCTTTCAAAGAGACAGCCCTTCAACTCAGATTTTCATTCCAACATGTCAGTCTGCTAAGCTTGTCCTTTTGCTGTCAGAACACTGATTTGGCATTATTTGGGGAACAGGCTTTTGGAAGAACTACTTTTTAAAAAACTCACATTTGAAAGAATCTAGTTTCCTCTGTTCAGTTAAAGGCTAGCTAATGTTTCTTGGGTTTTTTATTCTGATCTCTTGAATTACTCATTTTTGAAGTCTTTGCAAATCTGAGTTACTATTCAAATATCCTCTCTCTGCAGCTGAAGGAAAATTAGTCAAAAGCTGCTCTGCTTAGCAAATCTGTATTTTCATGTGGACCCCCAAATTGTCTCTATACTTGCCTACACCTATCTTTCCAAAGTGTTCTTATCTAGGCTCTGAAAGTGAAAGGAAAATGACCCTCAGCTATACAGCTGCAAATAAAATGTTTTAAATCTGTTGCAAAGTCCAATATACAACAGTGACACTAGATGGCGACAGTGAGCTATACCAAATTCAATGTATTTTTCAAAACGTTTTTTAG